TTATTATTATTATTATTATTATTATTATTATTATTATTATTATTATTATTATTATTATTATTATTATTATTATTATTATTATTATTATTATTATTATTATTATTATTATTATTATTATTATTATTATTATTATTATTATTATTATTATTATTATTATTATTATTATTATTATTATTATTATTATTATTGCAGGAAACTCTTCAATAGAACAATTTGCAGTAAAACCTTTGCCACACTCCTTTTTTCAATTTCAACTAAAGCTAATAATAAATCATTCATAAGTATTAATAGATCTAGTGATGGTAGTGACCTTTGATCTGATGTTGAACCGTAAGCTTTCTAAATTGTTTTTAAATTAAATTCTAAATTAGATTGAATTAATTTTCTAAATTAAATTAAATTAAATCTAAAAATCGACTATATTCCTATTACAAGGAAATCTATCAACATACACAAAGCTTTTTACACATATCTTATGTGCCTTTATTAATCTCTCATCGATTTTTCAGTCTTTTTGAAGTAAAATAATTTAAACGGTGAAATTTTCTATTCATAAATTATGGACGTATAAATGGTTATAGAAAATAGAGTAATTTATGAAGTATGCATCGTTATGATGAAAATACAGAAAAGAGAAGAAAAAACGATGGATCATTACATTGAATAATTGAGGAATGAATCGTATTCTTTAATTAGCTTTGATAAGTACCGTATGAAAATATAAATGTCCTTGAAAAAAAAAACGTTTCTTCTTTAATTCCCTTTCAATATTTTCATCAGACAACCTATGTGAAAGGTCATCGTTGTCATCGAATTTTGTCGATACCCTATATAGTTTGAAAGAGTGACGAACTTTTCGTGGTAAATTACTCGTGGAGTAATTTTGCATCCCTACTATAATAGTATTTTATGCAATAGAGGCTGCTACTCATTCAATGCCCATGGAAGTGTCTCCAAGAGAAAAATGCTGTTTGTACCGATTTCAATTACTAATGGCGCATTTAACCTTTTTCATAGATCCATCATATCTAATCTCACTTGTTTATTACATCAACGATCAACATGAGATTGAGCATTTTATGAGAACTGGAATGTTCTTAATAAGTAACTAGTTATTTAGTTATATAAAGAAGTATAGAAATTTGTTAAAAGAAAAAAAAAACTTAGATTCGATTGTTGGGGTTAGGCAATTAGATGTACAAAACCATTGGAGGGAAATAAATGACAGAGACCTGTCATTGTTTTCTATCTTTCATATAGATAACATAGGAACTTCTTGCATATTAATCAATGTAAATTAGCCCAATAATGCTGAAACAATAACTGCTATTAGTGGTTCTTAGCATAAATTTTGGCTAATTAATTCCATAAGTTCAATCAGTTCTTACTAATTAACATAAATTTGTTAAGTAGTCTTATCTCCTTGAAGTGATTCACTAAATTTTTTTAACTCATTCAACAAGCAAGTTTCTCCTTCATCTCAAAACCTCTATTGACAATTATTAAAAAAAAAAAAAAAAAAGAAAAACAAATAGAAACAGCTTGAGATAATTCTCGATTAATTATAACAAAGGGAAGTGACATGAGAGAGAATGAAAGAAATGTTTATTCTCCATCCGTTGTAAATAAATCCGACCATTCCATCCCATCTCTAACCTTTCACTTTGTTTATGGGATGTTGAACATTATTAATTCTATCTTCTTCATGGTTTAGATATTTCGCTCCAATAAGTTAATTTGAAATTCTTTTATCCGAGGAAATAAATCAGTTAATGATAAGGAAAATGTCCTTTAACATGTTACTTGTGACATGTCGTTAATGTCAGCTAATGTCCGCTTCATAGAAAGAATTATGTAATGATTTCTTAATTAATTTTAAAAACATAACCAAATACTTTCTTGATAATTAGCATTATTATCATTACAAAAGATGAAGGGTTAATTTCCGTTTTAATTTCTCTCTTATACTCGCTTGTTTACTGAATCATACTTAAGTGAATAAAACAAACTCCAAGATTTATACTTTTATTCCTTTTTCTATTCCTCATAAATCCTTCTTTCCAGTCATAAGTCTCTCATTATGCCTTTCCACTCATTGTGATCATCATAGAAATGATTCAAAACGGCGATAAAATCTTCCACCTATCAAGAAAAGATTTTCACCAAATCGTGTTTCCTTCTTTTATCACCTTTCTCAATTTCATCAATATTGGTTATAAAAACCAGCAGTATTATACTATCATTCGTTCTCCTAAAGTACTTTTTCCAAATTTAATTTAATATCTTGCTAAGGTATTTTCATAAATATTCATACCAATGGTACAAATTTTTGCTTTTGAAAATTTCTGTATGATAATTAATTTAACTGAAATATTTTGTGCAATGGGTTATATTATTATGCATTGTGGAAATGTGCTATTTGCGCATTTCCTCCTTAATTAATCCAATTTGATTCAGCCATAGATATGGGAAGTGATAAAAAGTTAAATATAGGATATATCTATTGTTAACATGATATATGTTAAAAATATATGTTAAAAATTTATGTTAAAAAAAAAAATATATGTTAAAAATTTTATAAGATTTTTTCAAATTCTTCTCTATTTTTCATTTTTCCATTTAACATCTCTATTTTTCTTCACCTATCTAACTATACTATCATCTGATGACTCATAAAAAAGTTGCTTTTTTTTATTTGTCATCTTGTTATTTTTTTAACTTTTAGCGTAATAATTTCATCAGTTATCAATGAGAGTATTTACAGTAAGAGTAATCATTCCTAATCTTTTTTTTTATCAATCCTAATTATTCTGAATCTGTTTTGTCAACAGTGTGTGTCTCAGCACTAAATTGTATTTGAAATAAACGGCTTTATCATTTCTTCCTTCTACCTTTGAAATTGAGTGAATGTGAGACGTTCTTCCGCTAGTATTACATTGATTTTCTTTTTTTAATATGTAATAGCAATATTAAGATGAGGAAAATTAAAAATGATAATAAAGATTACTGATATTTCTGATAACTAAGTATATTACAAATTAACTTTAGCTTGGTTTACTTACTTTTTCAGGTCACAAATATTACGTAAGTTTGCACTATTTAATTACTTTTCTGTTTAGGATTGTTTTTCAAATATATTTTCTATGGTAAAAACTTTAGCAATCAATTTTTCCAAATTTTGAAATTTTGCCGAATTAAAAAACTTATTGCTTTAAGTGATGTTTTAAAAAATATCATTTAGCCGGTAGAAAAATTATTTTGTATAGCACTGTGCGTTGAAATTTTTTGAGAAAGCTAAAATTTTTGCAGCCAATGGGATGGTGCAATTAGTAGGTTAGTGCAATTGGTAAGTTAGTGCAGTTGGTAGGTTAGTGCAGTTGGTAGGTTAGTGCAATTGGTGGGTTAGTGCAATTGGTAGGTTAGTGCAATTGGTAGGTTAGTGCAATTGGTAAGTTAGTGCAATTGGTAGGTTAGTGCAATTGGTAAGTTAGTGCAGTTGGTAGGTTAGTGCAATTGGT